TTTCTTGATAGTTCATTTTGCTACTAGCATGTTTAGGTCAACTGACAGTTTTTACAGTTAAGAAGTAATTATGAGTAATTTTGGTGGTTATGAATAATGATTTAGATTGCTTTGGTGGCCAACTACTCGACTTCAGACAAACCAGCAGTCATACAAGTTCAACAACTAGGAAAGCAAAAATTCCCAGGAAGTGTGCGGATCTCAGTGTCTTTGAATGCAATTTTTGCATTTTGTTCATGCTGTTTTCTATGGAAGCTTGTTTCCGCCACTGAATAAAAAAAATAAAAAAGGTAATTGCGACTTTATCTCACAATTCAGACTTTATTTCTTGCAGCTATGAGTTTATATTGTGCAAGTTTGAGAAAAAAAGTCAAATTGTGAGATATAAACTTAAAATTGCAAGAAAAAAAGAAAGAATTGTGAGATATAAACTCAGAATTGCGAGAAGAAAAGTCTGAATTATGAGATTTTTAAAAATTGCAATTACCTATTTTTTTTTCATTCTGTGGTGGAAACAAGCTTTTATACCCCCACTCCCCACAAAAAAAAACAAAAACAAAAAAAATCTTTCAATCATTTTTACAGATAATACCAATGTGCATAGAATGTGCACTTTTGATGTGCATGTTCATTTTCAACTATTTTTTCGTCTTACATAATGATGGATGTCTGTGAACAATAACAGATCAGGTGCACAAATAGAGTGCTTATCATTCTCAGAGAATAAGAACAAGCGTCATCTTGTATGCAATCAGTTTACAGATGTCTTGTGTAGTAAAGATAGAGATCATTGCTACTGGAGAAAATGATGTAATGTGACTAATCGGGAAAACAAAGTACTTGTTGGTGCACATTTACTTTTACTCAACATATAAAGTGGGCTACGTGAGATCATGAGAATGTGTTTATTTGGCATTGTTGTTTTTTATTTTTAACATTTAGATTTGTTTCATTACAAATTACAAATTGCTGAATTAAAAAAAGAAATAAAAGTAAATATTTCTTTTTTTGTCAAAATGTAAAAATATATTTCTGAAATATTTATTAAAATTACTGTATATTTTTTTAAATACTTGTTTTTTTTAAATTACTTTGTTAATTTTCAGGTTAACATGAAAAAAAACAAAAAACTTTTGAAACCCACTTTAGATATTTATTACATTTCCCAAGCTCATCAGGCATGCAGTTTTTAAAAAAAAAGGTAGCCTATAGTTACACTTTTCCCGGAATAAAGCGTCTCTCTTGCATGGCTCTTGCTTTCCCAAGCTCATCAGGCATGCAGTTTTGAAAAAAAAAGGTAGCCTATATTTACACTTTTCCCGGAATAAAGCGTCTCTCTTGCATGGCTCTTGCCTCGGGTGTGCTCTTCACAATAGGTCTTTGATACAGTAGGTGCTTTACAGCCATCGAAAGCGTCATGACATGTCACCCAACCACCCTGATTTTGCAAAGATAAAGCTTGTGGTTAGTTCTGGAAAGATTTGTAAAGATCCTGTACTTTGTTGAGCTAAAATGCTTTCACAGAGCGTTCATCTGTATTGTGTCACTCACTTCCTTGGTGAAAAGGTTGCGGGTTGGAGAATGCAGCGGCTGTCTGCGGGTATCTTCTGAACTTACGATTGCTTAGAGCTCATCCGCATTTGAAAGAAAAAATGAAATCATTGGGACGGCACTCATGAAAAGAACAATATTTGAACAAGCTCTGCAGCTGGTTGTGGACATTGTTTCTCTTTCTTTTTTTGATTCACACTTTCCTCCCCTCGGATGGAGATGGATGAGGTCTTAGCTGCTCCTAGCTGGTTTAGTTGAAGCCTGGATTTGTTTGGTGTTGTGATTCAGACCTGGTTGTATTACTTCATCGAGTTATAAATGATGTGCTGACAAAGGCGTCCCTGTCTGCTCTGATCTCACACCATCCTGGAATGTTATCTCCATCCATCTTCACGTCTCTGACCTCCTCTTGGGACACGTGAGCGGCTGATAATAGATGCGTTTACGGTGGACAAAGGAATGTTTGTTCAGTGTGTGTGTCAGTGAAGAGGAATGTTACTTATAAAAGTGTTATATTAATAATTGTTGTATTGTTGTATATGAGGTCATCATATCTCATAGAGCGAGTTTCTTACACAAGCTTCACCTGTCACTGAAACATCTAGAGATCTCAGACCCATTGTTCTTTTGTTCCTCATATTTTCCTTTTGGTAGTGTTATTTTTAGCAACAGTGGTTAAACAACAGTGTCAAAGATAAAGAGAAACGTTTAATGACATTTTACAATCTTTGTCTTGTCATAAAAAGCTCTTTACATCTAGCATCTCCCTCTCTTTTATTCCCCACAGCAAGTTTCTGCACAAACCACATGATTTGGTAGTTTTTTAGATGTTTATAATGTTTTTACAAACCTGTTTCACTCCTTTTTGTTTTAGGATTATTTAAAAAAAAGATTATGCCGATAAATTCAATGTTTTAAGTAATCTGTTAGAATGAGGGGGTTACAAGTAACACTTTTTCTTTTTTTAGTTTTACATAGCTTTACTGTTAAAGCATGGCACAACCAATACCAATGATATGGGCTCAAATCCCAGGAAACAAACATGCTGATAAAACGTACAACTTTAAGTCACTTTGGACTAGGGGTTGACTTCTGATTTTTTTAAAGTCGACTTTTATGTGATGAAAGTCGAGTCGAAGTCGACTAGTCGCTGACGTCATTAATGAACAAATAAGTCTGGAGCTGTGATAAACACCTTGTGCACAGCTATGGCATATGACACAGTGCTGCCCACATGGCTATTGCTCCTATAACAGCTCATTTTCATCAGTTCTTTTGTCTTTGGGTCGTTATATTTCTCACAGATTTCTGCTCGTTCTAAATCAGATACAGATAAAGTAGCACAGCAAAGATTACATTCATATGAATGCATTAGTGAGAGCGATTGCATGTGTGAATTAATTCTACCTGGCAGCGTCTCGGTAATGAAGCTGTGGGATTTAGTTATTAAGAAATATATGCTTGAACTTTTCAGTTTCTAAGCAATTTTATTGAGAAATCACAGTACAATGTTGACAATACATTTCCGCGCTGAATGATTCTGTGCGCGCGTGATGTGCATTACAGTGCAGCAGCGCATTAGATTAGAACGGCGATTAACTTCCCTGTACAATAAGCTGTTTAAAACGTGCATTATCCCGTTCAATTTCGAGCATTCAGTAATATAATCACACATGTCTTGTGGAGCGCTTTCAGAGTATGCATTTATTTGTCATTTTAACTGTTTGGAAACGGAGCGTAAATGTTGAAGTCCTTCAAAGATTTCTTATCCTGTTGCGCCCTCTATAGGACCAGCGACTAGTCGACGTCAAGCTTAAAGAGTCATGGGAGAGAATTGAAGTCGACTAGTCGATTAGTCGGTGCAACCCCTACTTTGGACAGAAGTTTCTGCCAAATAAATGAATGTTACATGAATGTTTTTTAAGTAATGCGTTACAGTTAGCATGCATCTATTATTAGCCACTCATGTATCCCAAGAGGAGGATGGCACGCCAGAGATGTGAAGATGGATGGAGGGGTTGCGTCCGATCTTAGATCTCCGTCTTCTGAACCGCGCTATCAAACGGCTTCGGTTCAAGATGCTCACTATCAAGCAGATAGTATCTCAAATCCAGTCCGAGGACTGGTTTGTTACGATAGATCTCAAAGACGCTTATTTCCATGTTTCCATCCTCCCTCAACACTGGAAGTTCCTAAGGTTTGCTTTCGGGGGCGAAGCATACCAATATCGAGTTCTTCCCTTCGGCCTGTCACTCTCACCCCGCACTTTCACGAAGTGTGTGGATGTTGCTCTGGCTACTCTGCGACTCCAGGGCATCCGCATACTCAATTACATCGATGATTGGTTAATACTAGCTCAATCGGAGCAGATGGGGGGTAACATTAGGGATGCAGTTTTTGTTACCATATTTGTTAATTATCGATATTGATGCTTTTTTTTTTTTTTTTCAATATTGGCTGCTATTGGATATTTAATTGTTCATGCTTGTTTTCACTATTTTAAAATTAATTTTACATTAAAATACCTATTTATTTTCTTTCTTAATACATGTTCCTGATCTTATTGTGCACAATATATCTATGCATCTATACAAGAAGTTAGTAGTTCCAAGTCTCTGGAATTGATTATCAAAGTTTCCCATCTTGCTCTGCATCTAAAATGTCTTTTCTTCTTGCCTGATGTCACTAGGAAGGAACCCCCTTCAAACATTTGATGTATACTATAGAGACTCTCCATGATCCAGTTAGTTCTCTATGGATTAAATCATGTAATGCCAAAAATTATGATTTTTTTTTTCTGACAGAATATCCGGTTTTACTTGGAAATGCATCAGATTATGGATGAAAAAAGAGATACTGTAGACAGATAGAGAGATGAGAAGGCACATAAAGCTGGAAATCACTCTTAGACTGGCAGTTAGTAACGTGGTCGGCAGAGATTTGCATTCCATCAGTGTGCGACCCCAATTTTCCCCATTTTCATCTTCATCATCAGCGCTTTGAAGCTCTTCCAGGGTCTGTGGATGACAAGCTGTCTGTGGGTCGTTCAGCTGTGCCCAGTTATGAGATTACAGCGGTTCAGATGAGCCGAGTTCAGTCAGGACACACAGTCAAGTACAGAGAAGTAATACAAATACTGGTTGGTGATGTTATTTAGATACTCAGACAGTAACGGTGTGATATTGATGGCTGAATAACTTTGTTTGTATTGATACTTAGTTAAATAAGCCCTGTATTTCATTCAATACTGTACTAAATATTTCTCAGTCTTCTCTGGTTGTTCTATGTAGCATCTTGACAGGAACCCTGACAGTTTCTTTACTTTCGCCTTTTACTGACAAGAAGTTATGGATATTTTAAGACCGTGATCTACATTTGAATGTCTGTTTGTCAAAATGTGACACAAATCGCCTCATTGTAACTCTGTCTGTTCACTTCTCCTCTCTTAGGACCCAGGCTACTGGATACAGGTGAATCGGTTAGAACATGGAGACGGAGGCATTTTGGACCTGGATGACGTGCTGTGTGATGTGGCCGACGACAAAGACAGGGTATGTCATAAGTCTGCATTAATATTGACTTTTTTAGTGGAGACGCTGATCTCTAATGTGCTCAACCTGAACTTTCATTTCTAGTGTGATGAATGAACCGAAAACGATGCCAAAACCGTTAAGATATTTTGACTTTTATTTCTGAGACTTGTGTCATTTGCTGAATCAAAAATGTAACAATGAGGTCTTATATAACTGCATTAATAATTTTAAGCATGCTCTTTTTGGGTTTATAAACAGTTTGAGCTAGTAAAGCTTTGACTATGACCCCAATTTGACTTGACAGATGTGTAACTGGTATTTTGGTGGCTTACTGAATGTGTCTTATTCATGTCTGTTTACGTTTTGACATCAAAATCCCCCCCCCCCACCCCCCAAAAAAAACCCAAAAAAACAAAATCAACAATTATTTTAAATAACGAGAGGCAGTGTTCATGATAATGTAGATATAAAAGTATTCCACATTTATTCCAGATCAAAGAGAGGGAGAGTGTTATACGCCTCGCTGTTGGGCCTCTGTTTTTTTGACTTGTTATAGTGGTTATTAGGGTTAGGCGATGTCTACCAAATTGGCATCGGACAATGTGTACAGCGAAACATCGTAATGGACGATGTCATCAGGAGGGGAGGGGGGGTTTGGGGGGTTATGGGGGG